GAACAATAGGGCTGTTTCGTGCTCTGTAGAGGAGAATGAGAGTTAGAAATATAAAGAAACATTTCTTTCAACAAGATAGGACAAGCTGTACAATGTGGTTGTATTTTTACAGAAATGTTTCTTTATATTTTTTGTCGATACTAACAATGAGTTGTACTCGGAATAGAGAAAAGCTCAAAGTTTTAGTTCATCCAGAAAATAAAACAAAGCAAGAATCATCAGTAATATCATCGTTTTTATGGAACATATTTTTATTTCCAGCTAAACTAGATGACAATAATGAAAAGAAGCAAATCTTTTCAAACATTTAATTATTCGGCTAAAAGTGATAATTGATCGGTCGAGTACTTGATCATTAACACAATCTATTCTAGCTGAATAGAGGTGCAAAACATTATTAAACATAAATTAAGAAGATATTAATATCTTTGCCGGGTAGGGCAGGACAGAAAAGTTGTTGTGTACTCCATTCTGATCTCAACGAAACATTTTAGACTTTGATTCAAATTTTTAGGCGTATCTTAAAACAGCAAAGCCTTTTGAGAATGAAAGACTTTTGATCAACTCAATATCAATAGAGTTTCTTCATGGTTGTATTCTTGTTCTTGGTGCTGCCTACTTTTTGTTCTTAACTTATTCTTCTTTCTAATGCGAATAATATTTGAGAGAGAAAAATTGTTGACTGAACTCAGTCAAAACTGTTTCCGATCAAGTCTTGATTGTTTTTTTGACTGGTATCATTATTTATTAACACTGATTATATAGATTGCCCATGCTACGTCAATTGTTCCCATATTAATAAACATGACATAGCACTAGCTATTTCAGTAATGTAAAAAACTTGAAAAATGAATTTAAACTGGGAAATATTGCATAGGAATCGAAATCTCGAAAGCGTTAGAAACTTTTCTATTGCTAAGTACCATTTTTAAGTTGATGTTGTTCAATTAATAATTGATCTTCTTTAGATTCAAATTCTGCTCTGATATTTTTTCTTGTTAAATGAATATATCGGTGATAACATTTTGTTTGTGAACGACCAAGTACATCACATGCAACTAAATTCCAATTGATTGTTCCACGATTCGATTGTTTTAATACACTTCTAAGAAGAGCCTATGTTTAAGAAAGAGCAAATATAAATCAATTACTTAAATCCCATAGAGGAAAAAAGCAAGAGAGAAAATATTTTGCATCAATTTAATTTGTACTTCGTCTTCGTCTACTTGCCATGGTCCTCGTCGAACATCTGGATCAATATTACGCCATTCACGGCGTACTGTCGATAGACTGCAGCCCATTTTATAAGCAACTTTAGTAAAATAGAATAAAGAAAATGAATTTTGTAATTTTATTTTGATTACTTTTATTTAATGGAATATAATTTTCATGACGATACTCTTTAATAACTTGTTTTAATTCATTGATTTGTTCTTTTGAAAACTTTCTGCAAAAATAAGTAATAGAATACAAGCAGTTTATTCAAAATAAATAAACTTACATCTTATTCAAACGAGTATTCTCCAAAAACATATAACGATTTGCACACATATATGGTGAACGTTGAGGCTAAAAGAGGCAATAAATAAGATGACCTTGTAATTCATATTAAGGACTAAAACATATATAATTATGATATCATCTAAATAGAAAGTACGTAATGTTTGTGCAGTTATTATTCAGAAGAGATAAATATTCAGAACGCAATAGTTTCTCTTCTCTATGTCGGTTCAGAACACTTAGCCTAATGCTGGTCGTTTCCCACATGGAAATAGGATATACATTATGTCAAAATAGTTATATAGAACTATAGAAGTCTTATTAAGAATAGCAATATCGCAATCAAATCTGAGAAAAGTCAAACAGTTCCTTCTTCGTTCAAACTATGATAAATATATTGTGTCATGAACGAAAAAAGACAGAAGTTTATGCTGTGTAGCATTCACATTCTCCTTATATGAAACTTTTTTATTTTTCAAATACGATCTTCTTTTCATCGTGCACGTACATAACAGAAAGACATGTTCATAAAATGTAATTTCATCATATTTTGCAATTAGGTTACATAAAGTTCGCAATAGCCGCTTTTTTTCGATTAGGTGTTTTCTATCGATTTTGTTCGAGAACTCCATTAGGTCTTGGTAGACTCGATCGGGGATATGACGTTCTATGTGTCTTTTTGTAGTACCGATACTCTCAAAATATAAGAATTATCTGTTATGTCAGTATATGTTCACTACTTATTTCGTCACAATCGCTATATCTAGATGTTGATCAAGTGCATTAGAACTCAAAAACCTTTTTTTCTTGAATATTATAAAGGCTAATGAGCACATAAAAATGAATTTGAGAATAAAAAGCATATAGACAAACAATATCTGAAAGAAATACTTTATTGTAAGGTTTGAATAGATTTTTTCTCAAAAATAGGAAAATACACTTTACAATGGAATTTCGACGCGTCTAATATGGTTTGTCTAGAACAAAAACGCCAGCGTTCATCCTTTACTGTTTATGTGCGAAAGCTCTGCATGAATATTAAATAGTACGTTGACTTGAACTCATATGGTTGATTTCAACACTTATTTCCGTAGAATTTCTACCGAAAAAGGGAAATAACGTCAGAATATGGTGAACATAGTCGTATTTGCCAACCGGCTCACTCCACTATTATTGACTTCAATTAGTACTCTAAAAATCTCCCCAATAGACCAGAGATGCTATTCTTACTCGTATTTTTTAGTTTTCTGCTTGAGACCAACTTTAAGTCAATCAATGGAGAATAAAATAAGAATTAAAAATTACGTTGATCAAAGAAAATGTTTTGGTGATATGAAAACAATAATATCCGTAATGGTACTTACAAAATTAAAAGCAATGACTTTCCATTGATCAGCATGTGCACCATATATTTGAACTGTATTTATCAGCAATTGATCCTCTTCCAAAGACCAATTTTGATTACAACTAATAACTGGTAAGCAAAGTTGTTGCCAAGCATGCTGACAACGTTGTTCTGTATATTGATTATTCATCTAATACAATAAGAAAAGCCATTTCAAATTAAGTAAAAATGAAAAATATTTTTTTAACCAATATTTCACATATATTTGTCCAATCAATAGATCTATCTACATTTTCTTCTTGAATTAGTTCTCGATTGGATAAAGTTCTAAAGAAAATATATAAAAATACTAAATTCAAAAGAAAAAGAAAAATTTTACCGTAAATCATCAAGCATTTTTTTAGCAATTTGAAGTTCTTCACTAACAATATTTATATCACGTGTTGATGTTTGCAGAATTTCAATTCTAAAATAAATTAATTAAAACCTTAATAAAAAGACATTTTTTACCTTCGAATTAATTCATGTTCTTTATTTTCACGAATATTTCGTGCAACACTATCAATTAATTTTTCAATTGTTTCATTTGAACCTGAATGTAATAAGAAAAGTTTCTTTGAATACATTTAATTGACACTGATTAACTGACTTAAACGTGCTTTTTCTTCACGTTGCATCATTCGACGAATATTTTGTATTGTTTCATTATTTGTCTAAAGAAAAAGTTCATTTTTTTATTGATAAAAAGAATTTTATTAAGTTCATTTACTGTTAAATGATTTGAAATATAATTTGTATCAATTTCGAAAACTTGTATTGGAAGAATTTCATTTATTGATTGATTAGATTTAATCGAAGTATTCTGTTAGAAAATCAAATCAATATTAAGAATTATTTATTTTAGTAGAGTTACAATAGATTGACAATGTTTTGATAATTGAAAAAGATTACGTTGATAACATAAATTAAGTGCTGTAGCAAATGTAAGAAGAGATGAATGATCAATACGATGAGGATTACTATTTAAATTTTCTACAAGATCATAATAATTCGGAGGTTCGTCGATTTGTTCATTTTTTATTTGTTCTTCATTGAATAGTGTTGAAATAGCTTGTGGAAATGCTATAATCAATAGAAAACATAATTATTTAGTTTATCAATTTACATTAATAATATACATAGGTTTTCGAAACTCCGTTTTATGAGTTACAGTCAAAAATTTTCTGCTTCACGCTAAAGGAAACTTTCAGTGGAACATATTGGATCCATTCGATATCTGTATCTGATAGGTTATCTATTGAAAGTTCGAGTTCTATTCGCATAAAAGGTGTTCACTAAGTTTTGACTCGCTTAATCAATAAATTTATTAATTAAGCAGGTCAAAACTTAGTAAACACCCTTTAATCCCAATGCGATAGGATTTCTTCTCTATTTCGTACGGTCGGAAACATCTTGTAGACCTCTATTTCTAACGAATAACCATTTTGATGCAATAAGGACAAGAATGATAGCTCAAAACTCTATCTCAATAAACTTGTTGATTTTTGGTTTGAATCAAGCATATTGAAAACAACAGACACTAGCTTTAGTTCATTTCTTTTCGCTTAAAATCACAGATCACTCAGGCATTTTTCGAGTTACGACAAAAAAATGACTAACTTCAAATAGAATACAAGATCTATTTATTCTCTCGTTTTTAGCAATCTACAATAAATTCATGATCCTATACTTACCAGCATTTAATGCAACTTCAATTTCAACGTCATCAACACGAATATTCAAAGCTCGTTCAATTTTTTCAATATCACGTTTAATAACATCAGCCATCTAAAATATAGATAAAAATGTTTTACGTCTTGTAACAGAAGCATTTATCTTTTAAAGGCTCGTATGCAGTGTTTTTAATGAGAATCTGAAATAGAATGTATGCGTACACGGTGTTTTTTAGAACAACATGTATCTGTACACTTGGTTTTTTGTAGCAAAGTGTACAAAATGTATAAGAAACACGAAACTTTTTTCTGTTCATAAAAGACATTTTTTATTTAAAAAAACTTTTATTTCATTTTTCATTTTAATGAAGACAAGATGATTTGAAAAAAAACAAAAATAAAACGTTTTCAAATCACAAAAGGGACTTTGACTGAATGAAAAATATCAACTGTTATTTTTATGAAACTCTATTTATCCACACTTGTAGATACATGAATATCTTAAAAATAAAACAAAAAAAAGGCAACACTATATGAAACATAAATAGATAGGGCTCCAATACGAATTTTCAAGTATACAATAAATTTTCATGTACAACACTTAAAAATGAAAGTTAAACGAAGTTTACTTCAATTTTGAGATATTTTGGTCATTTATACTGAGACGTTTCACTGTTCATTCACAACATTATCAGTTAAGAAAATGAATGGATAAAAATCGAATAAAAAATTTGAAATAAAAATTACAAGCGTATAATTGCGTGCTTGTAATTTTTATTTTAAATTTTTTATTCGATTTTTTATCTATTAATTTTCTTAACTGATAATATTGTCAATGAACAACGGCACGTTTCAATACAAAACATTACCACGTGTTAATTATTGTCTTAGTTCAAATTGAATCGAGTCTACGTATAAAATTTTCATGGCGTTCAATATTATAAACAGTGTTTTTAATGATTAGTGTACACCAGCAGAGCAAAGTGTACGTACACTCTGTTTTTTTAGAATACATTTCGTTTTCCTATGAAGTACACTCTGAAAATAAAATTTTTGGCTTAACAAAGTGTATGCGTACACGGTGCTTCGAAATCCTATTAAAAACGCTGATTATAAATTATATTTTTGTACATACAGCAGAAGCACGGAGATAATAGAAAAATCAAAGTGTAAAATAAAAATTCAGTGTGTACAGCGTACACGCTACTTTTTTCATCAGCGTGTAAAACAGTATGTAAATTTTTTTTTATTAGGGTACCGTACCCGTTGTTTTGCTGGGTACACTCATTCATTAAAAATACTGCTCGTATGCATTTATAATTTTTTCTGTAATTGTCCAAAACGGAAACACTCAAATAACAACAAAATCTAGTAGTACAAGAATGATACATGCACGTTAAAGAAAACGATCGACAAAACCAATTGTTGAAAGATCAAGACAAAGCAGCTCTACCGAAGCCTATTACAACTTTTCTAGAAATGAACATAGCACAACAAATGCCGATTTTGTGTTTTTTTTTCAATATTATCTTTTTATACGCACTCCAGTCTTGATGTAAGAATGTAATCAAGGAAAATTTTTTCTCAACAAAATTTGTTAAATGATTATTCTGCGATTGATTAGATATTTTTACCGACAAATAATAGAATTTTCCTTTTAAAATTGTATTATTTTACGAAAAAGATGTCACTATTGAACGATAAATAGGCCTACGTATGTCTTTGATGAATGAAAAGTGTCAAAAGAGAAACTGCTGAGAGTTTCCACGTGTAATACAAAAAAATCTGAAAAGAAGTAACGTACTATTGCAACAACAAGATGGAAAAAAAACCGAAAACAGACAAAAATGACATTATTTGTACCGTATTCTCAAATCTAAATAAAGAGTGTTCTTTTATTTTTAGCATCTGCTCATTTTATCCTATTGTTTTCAAATGTAGATCGATTGATTATGATTACATTTTGTAGAAAATATTGATATCTTCATAGATAGAGATTTGAATATTTTTGTATTAGAAAACGTATATTTGTCAACGTAGATCATTTTTGAAAGGAATATGTAGAATTAAATATAGAAATTATAATTTTGGAAGGATAAAACTGATAGTTTATGGTCAAAATACATTAAAAATATCCATCTTGTTTCGAAACTTGACTTGATCGAACTTTGATACGTTGTCACATTCTTTGCCTGACTCTATTTTTGAACATTCTGTTGTTTACATCTTCCATTGATCGAAGATTATGATCTCCTGCTTTATTACTGTCATATAATAAATGCAATGTTGTCACAAGCACGTTTCAATATATTATTATGGCACTTATCCTTTTCTTGCACAATCAGAGCGTCTAATAAACTTGATGTTTGTATTTATTCACCTTTTAACATAAATTTCATGCAGTTATGCATTTGTCATTTCTTATGTAAAGTCATCTCTATATTTAATTGCTCAGTATTTTACAATAAATACTCAGTAAGTTTTTATTGCACGCTCAGCAGTTTTTGCTGAGTCAGATATTAGTTTTACCATGGCAAATAATTTGAAAGGCTAGGCAATTTAGTGAAAAAGTGCAGTATTAAAGGGTGGAGGTATCGATCACTTTACTGGCAGCATTTACAATTGCAGTCACAGCTCTCAAAGCCAGTCAAGATCCACACCCTAATTGACTTTTCCATTTGATAAAACGCATTCTGCTGTCGATTGTCCCTAGTTTCTTGACGGTTTTTTTTCATTAACATGAGCATATGTCGATCTTCTTTACGAGGTGGTCAACTTCTTTCTTTCTCTACCAGAACGGTTTTCTAATGGTAAATTTAATTCGTGGTTCTTTTTTTGCGATATCACTGGTGCAACCGTTCCAAACGCCCATCTTATTTCGAATATTTTTATATGCAAAATCCGTCTTGTGAAAGTGTAAAAACTTTGATGTTTTGACATCTTGTGACTTGGATGTGGGTGTGACAGCGCCGTATTTAGGGGGAGGGATGAGAGAATCAATCCCTCCCAACATGCTTAAATACCTGAAGGAGGTACGGGTTTATTATTTTTCACAAGTAAACAATATCTTTTTCCCATAGGAGTCCGCCCCCCCCCCCTTAAAAATTTCTGGATACGTTGCTGGGGTGTGGGTGTTGGTGGGCGCGAGTTTGGGTGTGGATGTGTGTGGGGGTGGGGGTGGGGGTGGATGTGTGTAGGGGTGGGGGTGCGTGGGTGTGTGGGTGTGGTTGTGGGTGCGAGCGTGGGTGTGGGCGTGAGCGTGTGGGTGTGTTAGGAAAAATACCCACACCCACACCCGTACGCACAACCACACACCCTTCATGAAACTAGTGATCCATCGTCATGCAGAGAATTCTGATGCTATGATTGCATCTGCTGATTCCTTTTTTAGCCGATGTGAAACGGGAGATGAAGGACTATGTACCTGGAAAAACTTTAAATACTGATCAGGTTGGTCTGAAACTTGACCTTCAATCGACTAGAACACTCTAATATGAGGGTGAAAATGTTATGTTGGCTCGTGTGAAATCAAAAAATGCCACAACGCACTCTTGAAATATTCAAAAAAATGATATCTCTTGCTGGAAAACTTGTCGATCCTGTTTTTCTGTGCTTGTAGGAGTCAAAGCAGAAGATGAGCGACAGTGACTTGACCGACTTCATGTTTCTTGTAGAATAAAACGGTATATCCTTTATTAGATATCAAAAACACATTTTTTTCTGCTCCGAACATTATTATTACATGTAGTTCTCCAGGGAAGCTCACCATCTCATTGGTGGAATACTGGAGAAATCACATTCTTCGCCCGTTTCCCCCAGCGAACTTTCTCTTGCTCTCGAATTATTGGTCTGATTAATGAAATTCAACTATATACTCTAGCTTCAAAGGATGTAAAACGCTAGAAATACCTGCTCATACTTCATCGCGCATTCAACCACTCGATGTTTATTTCAACAGACAATCGAAATTGATTGCTCGGCATATTTTCGATCATAGTCTACTCGATGATATTGCCATTAACTTATCTGAACGAAACAATGTAATACGCTTAAATTCTCTAATTCACAGCCAACTGTCCTCATCTCTGCTTATATCTATGATAAAGTATTCATGGTTCACAGCAGGTGGCGTCGATGAACATCCAGAAGATTTCGAGTCCATCAACAAAATTTTTTTAATGTTGATGGTGGCTTCTGTCAGCAGTCGAGCTGTCACTTACTGCCCTTTATTCAATGCAGTTACTGTCATAAATTTCTTTTCTTCCAGCATTTTTTCGAAGCTCATTGCTATGATACATAAATATTTTCTATCGATCCCCTTGATCGCAACATTTCGAATATAACTAGTAGTACAAAAATAATTCAATGTGTGACCGCTGTCATTTATGAAGAAGACTGATGTGGATCGTAACAATAACATAGTTTATCAGAAAACTTTTCGCGTGCAACACGTTTTCGTTCGTGGTATGATGCAGTGATACGTGTTCAAAAACGCTGCGTTAGCCAAGAACTTGAAAATTCAATATCTCAAGACAGGAAAGCCGTAGGACCAAATTCTGTTAGGATTATTCTTGTCTAGAAGTCCTCTCGATATTCCCAAAATATAAGCTCAAAAGCTATGAATCCCTTTGAATGGTTCCTTCGTAAGCCTGGTGCATACCTAAGTAGATCATCACGTGTTTTGCCTTCAGTCGCTTAGGTTGGATTCTTTGAGGTGGCCTATCACTTGGTAACAACCATCTAGAAGTGACCTTCTTATAAAGGAATGTCAGACTTATCACTTACCAATAGTTTCACTTACCAGGTAAGTGGTAAGCATTGTGGTCATCGAAAATTTATCGATATAGAAGTAATAAATGATTATCTTAATTATTAATTTTTATTCTTCCGTGGTAATCTAAACCACGTACCACTTACTATTATCCTTTTCAAAAAAACAATAGGCGTGGCTGTTTTTTGAATAACTCGAGAACGTAAGCAGCTAGAGACCTTTGGTTTTCACCAATCGAAAGAAGAAACAAGGGGGCGTCTTTTTTTCTAATATTGTATAAGACGAAATCATGTTGAAATCAGTCATTTTTGCAAAGCATCGAAAAAATGTGTAAAAACGATCTG